GTATTGTGTCAGTTCTTATACTCAGTTTTAGTTAGGGCCTGTTGGGAAGCAGAACAGCACTTAGATGACCTGACTCTAAAGGCCTCACTATAAGCCCTTTCGTAAGCCCTTGTAGGCCAGGGGAGGGGAAGGCAGGGGAACGAGGCATGTGGAGGACAGCGACAGCAGGAGACTTTCCCACGGAAGGCTGGGGCGGGGAAAGTGCTGGCTTCCCATGCTCAGCAGGAGCTGGAGCTAGGAAACGGCAGGCGCCACCCTGGTGGCAGCATACAGGTGTGGGAAGGAGCTCTGGCAGGCACATGCCCTCTCCTCTGTTAGGGCTTGTATCCAGATGTCTGCTGGTACAGTATTATAGACAGCTGAGTTAGGTTAGATAGGGCCAGGCCCTTAAGAGAGTCAATAGGAAAGAAGAAAACACCTCCCAACCATGGCCAGAGGTGCACTGATTGGAGGCCAGACCTCAAGACAAAGACAGGATGACCAGGCCCACATACTTCTCCAAGGGATAAGGAACTCCTGGCTGAATGAAGTCTAGACAGACATCGGCCACCTTGGTGGCTGGCTGGGACCTCCCAACTTGTCCCTCCCTGAAAAGTTCTATATTCTTTCTGTGGACACTTGCTATGTGATCTGCTCCTCCATTCAATCAACATTACCTAAGTGGCTCTACTTACCTTCTTGGTTGATCTTAGTGTTAACCCACATTGTACCCACCTCATGATTTTGCTCCACAAAACTTCTTCTGTGAAGGGGAGTCCTTGGCCACCCACTCAGAACCACCCTCACCTCTCAGGAGCTATCTCTCTCTCTCTGGATAAGTTTTCCTACTCTTAACCTCCACTGTTCCTTGAAATGTATCCTTTGACTTTGGAGAACATGAACTCAGCATGCTGGACATCCAGCAGGTTAGGAGCTACGTTTAATTCCCCCTGTTTAACTTGGAGACCCTATATCAGTAGGGGGGCTTTTGGGAGGTGGTTGGATCGATCTAGGGTGTGCAATACCGGGATAAAGGCTGTGATAGTGGGGTTGATTCACGGTGCAATGCTAGGATTAAGGGTTCCGCTTTTGAGTGAGAGTACCACTGCCCTAGAGGTGAACAGCCCAGATAAATACAAAGGACAGAGAGAGGGCTGCTGCTGCCACCTGCTGCCGTCAAAGCTTGCTGCTTTTGCTGCTTTCTGCCTGCCATGGACAGTTTCTCCTCCGCAAAGCCCATGGGCTAGGCCACCCCGACTTGGAGCCAGACCATTATGGACTTAAACGTCTACATGCAGGGAGCATAATCCTTTTCTCCTTTAACTTGGGGTATTTTGTCTCAGCAATGAGAAAAATCTACTAAAGGGTATTTAGTAAACTGTTCCCCACCTCTTGCAGTCTTCTCGGCTGTTCCTCTGAATTGAAAAATAAGCCAGCAAGTCAGGGACTGGGAGTTCATTGATCCCAGAAGTTAGCCTGCAGTACAGGGCAGGGCATAAAAAGCCAAACAAAGGCTAATGTGGCTCCAGCAGGGAAGGGCCATCATGATCCCCCAGCAGGGGCCTTCCCTGGAGTATTCTGTACCACTGTCCTGCACTGGAGAAAGCGGGACAGGGACCCTAGCCTTTGTGTCTCCCTCTGCCTACCATGGTCCTTTCTCTTCCCTGGCTAAACTCTTCAAAAGTAGGTTGGTGCCATACGTGCTGCTTCCTTACCCCCATCTACTCAGCAGCTTGCTGTGAAGTGAATCCTCTTCCCATAGTCCAGTGATTGGGCGCTGCCCAAGGACCTCCCTGTGCTAAACTCAAAGGAAGCTTTTCTATTCCCATCTACTAAGCCTCTTTCAAGCAGCACAGTGCCTACCTTGTTCCCGTCACATATCCTGGAGCACCTGAATGGAGTAAAAGAACCTTAGGCTAACTGGCAACAGAGCTATGAAGGTAATAAAAGGGTCAGTGGTCTCCAGAGGTTGTGGGGGGTGAGCAGGTAGAGCAGAGATGATTTCAGCTGATTCCACGTGACACCGTGCGCGTGGGGGCACCTATGTTGTTAGCTATTTGCCCGAATCCACAGGATGCGCTCTGATGACTGAAGAGTGAACCGTAATGAAATCGTGGACTTTCTGCGATGACACGTCATTGGAAGTTCGTTGACTGCAGCCATTTGCCTGTCTGGGTTCAGATGTTTACAGTGGGGGAGGCTAGGAATGTGGGCAGGGGTGGGGGGCACAGACGAACTCTCTGTCCTCTTCTTTCGCTTTTGCCAGGAGCCTGACCTGCTCTGACATGTGTTCGGGGTCTGTTGCCTTGCATGACCCG